AGCCGGGACCACCCTGGGACCTGGAGAGCCAGGGTGGGTACCACTGCGGGGGGCACCCTGGGGACCGTGAGCAGGGGTCCCCGCAGCTCTGCCATGCCCAGGCTGATGGTGATGCCCGGTCCTTGCAGGCCAGCCCTGTGATGGGTACCTGCAGGCAGATGGCCATGCCCTGGGGCCACGGGACTACGAGGAGCACATGTACGTGAACACCCAGAGCCTGGACACCTGGGAGCCGGAGGCGACGGCTCGCGGGGTGCCAGAGGAGAGCCCCAAAAAGGACCTCTTTGATATGAGTAAGCCACCAGGCTGGGGGGTGTCTGCTGCCGCTATGCTGGTGGTCTGCCCAGCTGTGTGCCGCAGCCCCGGCCGTGCCCACGCTGGCTGAGCCTAGAGCAGTGCTGTGCTGAGCACGGGGGGGCCGTGTGCTGGGGCCCCATCCTCGCCCACCCTTGCTGAGGCCGGCAGGGATGTGCTCGGGGCAGAGCTGTGGGTGGGCACCACATCCACCCCCCTGCCTGGCCCTGTGGAAGGGGCAGCTGTGCTGGTGCAGGGTGGCATCATCCCCTCCATGCCTGGGCACAAGCACATTGTTGTGCCTGGGACAGCCATGGTGCAGTGGGGTCCAGCCCAGAGGTGGGTCTGGCCATAACTGCGGGTCCTGCTGCTGCCGCTGCACCCCAGCCCTGCTTCATGCCCGCACCCCTTGGCTCCTGCAGGGCCATTCGAGGATGCCCTGAAGCTCCATGAGTGCATTGCGGGGGGCGGCACCAGCCTCCCCATCGAGGACCAGTGGCCGAGCCCCCCGACGCGGAAAGCCCCTGTCGCCCCCACGGAGGAGCAGCTCAGGCGGGAGCCATGGTACCACGGGAGGATGAGCCGGCGGGACGCCGAGAGGCTCCTGCAGACAGACGGCCGGGTGCGGGACAGCCTCACCAGCCCGGGGCAGTACGTGCTGACTGGGATGCACAGTGGGCAGCCCAAGCACCTGCTGCTGGTGGACCCTGAGGGCGTGGTAAGGGCAGGGCATGGGGTGGGCAATGGGGATGGGGTGAGGACTGGGTGGGAAGGGACACTGGGGGAGATGTCCGTGGGGTGGGCAGGCGCTGGAGGCTGTGTGGAGACCCCGTGGGGGAGGCAGCTGGCCTGGGTTCAGGACCGCTGTGCCCCCCCGGCCCCAGGTGAGGACGAAGGACGTGCTGTTTGAGAGCATCAGCCACCTCATCAGCCACCACCGGCAGAACGAGCAGCCCATCGTGGCTGCAGAGAGTGAGCTGCACCTCCGCCAGGTTGTCCGGAGGAAGCAGTGATGCTGGGGGTACGTGAGCTCCCGCCCGCTCCCTGGCACCGGACTCGCCCCAGCCCTGGGGCAAAGCCGGGGCCGCTCCGCACTCCCCTCCTCTGGTGGTGCCTGGCCTCGGG